GATTGAGGTAGCACACTGGCAACTTTATTTTACTATTTTTAACCGTTCCACTCCCCCCCATATTTCACTGTCAACATGCACCAAAAAGCTGAATAATATTATTTATTTATCCATAAACAGGTTTGGGGTGAAGCCCAGAGTTTAATTGAACTGTTAAAAATAGTAAAATAAAGTTGCCAGTGTGCTACCTCAATCCCAAGCGACATCTTTGAAACCGTGACTCTGAACCGAACCGTGACATCTCTGTACCTACGCTCCTACTATATATTTTCAATGTCAAATAACAAGCAATACAATCCGTGGAGTAATATACAATATTTTCCTCTCTAATGTTGGGAAGTATTTTTGACCCATGTTTTTGTGTCCAAGTGACTAATATGGTACAACAGTTTTTGAAATTGCTTCGGTATTGAGGGAGAAGGCTGTAGACAGGTTGCAATTTAATCACATTGTGCAATTGCTCACTGCCAATGTGTTTGTTTTTGCTACTGACAGGCTCGGATTGTTATTTTAAGTGTCTGACAACATCATGGAAAGGCTGAAAACACTTAGTTCACAGTACTCTAGAAGGGATTTATCTTTATTTTTCTTCTTTCTCCAAAACACCTCAGATTTTCTTGTGGGTTGGAAACTCAGCCAACCAGTACGAGACCAAGGAGGCGTGGAACAGCGCGCAGGAGTACCTGAGGACTCACCCTGCAGGCCGCGACCCCGACACACCCATGGTCTTTGTCAAACAGGGATATGAACCGCCCACCTTCACCGGCTGGTTCAATGCCTGGGATCCTCATAAGTGGAGCGTGAGTTTGTAATGCGCTCTTTGATCCCAGCGAGAGGCACGAGAGTACTCTTGACACAATAATGCGGCATGATTCAATAATTTGTAATGGTATTATGAATGTGCATTTCCATTACATCAGCACGGATGATTGAGAAGAGACACAAACATGTGAATCATTTTAGAAATGAGAAAGAAGATGCAGTCACATGTGGATGATTTCATGGATTGTTTGACGATGAAGATGACCCTGCATGCTTACGAATTTTCAATCCTGGCTCATTGATTTTCTCCACAGGGAGGAAAGTCTTATGAGGAGATGAAAAAAAAGCTGAGTGATCCAGCATCTCTCTCACAGATCACTGTTGTAAGTGATTGATTAACACTAATTATTTCATTAATTGACTAAATATACTAATATCACAAATGTAATAACGACTAATGTATCTAATGTGATAAATAATACTGTTACTAATCTGTGAATATTTACAATTTTTATGTTTTCTCCAAAACCTCATGTAATAATCCACCAAAAATATGATTTCACT